CCCGCAACTTGAAAAAAAATAATATATACATATATTCCTTAGTATATATGAAAATAAAAACGTTCATGCACACTTCTTAGCGGTCTGGTGCGGGTTTGGTGGGTGGTGAAGCAAGATATGGATCCAAGTGCAACGAGAAGCTCCCCGCCTACCCTGCTGTACAAAAAAAAATAATATTCTCGACGATTGTTTAGAAGAAAAAAAAATTGTTCATGCGCACTTCTTAGCTGCCACATTTTCGGTTTTGCGTCGAGCGGAAGTGGGTGGAGCCGCGGAGGTGGGCAGAGGTCAGCGGAGCATACGCAGGGGGAGGGGTGAGCGTCGGAGGTGGGGGGCCCCGTCCTTTTTCTTTTTTTCTTTATTTTTTTCTTTTTTTCAATTAATCAATCAATCAATCGAAATTGATTGATTGATTGATTGATTGATTGATTGGTTGATTGATTGATTGATTGATTGATTGATTGATTGAAAGCGGGGAAGGCGGAGGTGCGAAGATGCGTGGAGGTGCGGGGGATGGCGGAAGTGCGGGGTGAGCCGTAAGACCGGGGAAAGCAGCGGAGGGGCCGGAAGGAGGAGGAGCCACCAATCAATCAGTCAATCAGTCAATCAATCAATCAATCAATCAATCAATCAATCAATCAATCAATCAATCAACAAATCAACCAATCAATCAATCAATCAATAAAGGAGATGGCCAGAACGGAGGTGAGCGGGCGTAGAGGAGGTGGCCGCGTAGACCGCAGATGGGCGGAGGTGGGCGGAGGTGGGCGGAGGTGGGCAGGTGGAGCGAAGGTCGGCGGAGGTGGGCGAAGGTTGGCGGAGGTGGGCGAAGGCGGGCGGAGGGGATTGGGAATGGGATCGGGAAGCGGAAGCGGAGGTAGCAAAGTTGCCACGTGGCGATCTAGCCACAGGCCGAAGCGGAGGGGGAGGTGGCGAACTTGCCACAGGCCGAAGCGGAGAGCAGAAGCGGAAGTGGCGAGAAGAGGAGCCCGAAGCGGAGAGCAGCGGGGCCCGAAGCCGAAGCGGGGACAAACGGGGAGAAGCAACGACAACCGGGGAGAACCGGGGAGAAGCGGAAGTGGCGAGAAGTGGAAGCGGGAGGCGGAGGTGGCGATCTTGCCACGTGGCCATCTTGTCACGTGGGAGGGGGGGGTGGCGAGCTTGCCACTTGGAGAACTTGTGATTGCCACGTGACGATCTTGTCACGTGGGAGGGGGAGGTGGCGAGCTTCGTCAGGTGGGGTCCGATTGGCATTGCAGTTAGTCGGGTCCACTCGTGATTGCGGTTGCGTCAGCATGTGTGTGTGTGCGCGCAAGACAGCTATGGCGTATCTTAGAGAATGGCGCGACAACTATGATTGCAGTCGCGTCAGCATGTGTGTGTGTGCGCGCAAGAAAAATGAGTGATTCAGATCTCTCTCCCTCTCTCAATCAATCAATCAATCAGCAAAGGGGGGGGAAGGGGGAGGCATCGAAATCAATCAATCAATCAACCATTCAATCAGTTAATCAATCAACATCAATCCATTGATTGATTGATTGATTGATTGATTGATTGATTGATTGATTGATTGATTGATTGATTGATTCCAATCGCGGTCGGGAGCATGTGTGTATGTGTGTGTGTGCGCGCAAGGAAAATGAGTGATAACGAATTCCAGAAACCAAGCCACATCATACACACGACAATAGATAGTCGTGACCTCGAACCAAAAGCACAATCCCAACCTTGATTGCGTTTCGCGTGGAGGTACGGCTGGGCGGAGTGCGTTTCTCTCCCTCCAGATTCTGATCACTCAAGAAATCTATGGCGCGTGGCGCACAACAATCCCTCCCGACCAAGAAGAAGTAAAGTAAGAAGAAGTCGAAGATGAAGAAGAAGAAGAAGAAGAAGAAGAAGAAGAAGAAGATGAAGACGGAGAAGAAGATGAAGAAGAAGAAGAAGAAGACCAAAAATCCGCCAAGAAGAAGAAGAAGACGAAGAAGACGAAGTAGAGGAAGAAGAAGCCGAAGACGACGACGAAGAAGAACAAGAAGGACGACCGGAGTTGAAGAAGGGGGAACAGCAACCCTACCAACAGAACCCATATCTTCCTCTCCTCTTCTTCTCGTCAAATCCTAAGGTCGCAAAATCCAAACGTCGCAAAATCCGAATGCCGCAAATTATCTTCTCGTAAAATCTTTTTTTTTTTTTTTTCTCTCTCTCTCTCTCTCTCTCTCTCTCTCTCTCTCTCTCTCTCTCTCTCTCTCTCTCTCTCTCT